ATGGGGGCAGGAAAGATGGTGGAATGAGATGGACATCATCACCCTAGGTACATGGATGACTGCACATATGATGCGATGCTACATCGTATACAGCCAGGGAAGTGAAAAGTTGTGCTGCAATTTTGTACAATGAATTAAAATGCATCCTGCTCTCATATACACCTAATTAAAATTAATTAATTAATTTTTTTAAAAAAAGCAAATAAAAAAGACAAAGCAGACTGGTACAAATCATTTGAGCCCCCAAACAAAACAAAACAAATAGCAATTTTCTGTGTGTTTATCTTCCTTTTGGGCCCAGGGATTATTTATAAGTGTGTTGTCTATTTTCCAAGTGTTTGGATATTTTCCTGTTATCTTTTTCCCCCTGTAGTGCTGGGGATGGGTCTCAGGGCCTGGTGCATGCAGGGTAAGTATGTGCCACGGAGCTACGCCCCCAGCCATTTTCTAGTTATTTCACATTACTGATTTCTGTTTTAATTCTCTAGGGTCAGATAACACTGTTTGTATGAATTCACTTCTTATGCACTTGTTCAGGTGTGCTGTGGTCTGTCTTGGTAAGTATTCTATGTGTACTTGAAAAAATTTTGTATTCTGCACTGGTGTATTTTTGTGTTTTTAGCATTTTTATTTTAAAACTTTGATTGATTCTTAAGAGAGGGGTCTCGCTCTGTTGATCCTGAGCTCTCGGGCGCAAGCGATCCTCCTGCCTCAGCCTCCGGAGCAGCTGGGACTACAGATGGCTGTCACTGTGCCTGGCTGATATTTTTGGTTTTGAGTCAGTTTTTGGTGGCTCGTATTTTCCTAGAAAATTGCTCTCTCAGACTCACAGAGCCTCCTCTCAGACTCACAGAGCCTCCTCCCAGCTCGGCCAGCTGCTCTCCTCAGAAGCGTCTTCTGCGAGCCTCGGCTGGCCCTGGCCGGGGAGAAGTTCATCTGATCTGGATTTCTCCCTTATTTAGTGATGGAAGCCCAGCAGGGTGAGCATTCTTATCCAGATGCGGCCTCGCCCGACCCCCTCCAAGCCACAGCATCTTGAACTCGGCGCTCCCCTCCTCTCTGACACAGTCTGACAGGTTAAGCAGCATCCTCCGTCTCCTGGGTTAGAAGCGGGGGGCCACTTCGCTGATGTGAAGTTGTGACAGCGTCGTAGTGAGACACGTGGCCTGGACCACTTCGGTCATCATTTAAGGAGCTGTACATCTCGGTTAATTAACCGATGACCAACTTTTGGTGATGTGTCCAGTGGTCAGCCTCCACGAGGGCGGGTGGCACAGCTTGAAGAGACAGAGCCCAGGGACAACGCTGTCAGTCAGCCGCTGTCTCAGGCCCCCAGGGCCTGGCGGGCCCCACCGCCGCCACAGCATGTGGATGTGGGGCCAGCCGGGCTCGGTGGCGGGTTACAAGAGCAGGGCGGTCCCTGGGCTCCATGTGCCGGACCCCACACTCCAGTTCACACGGCCCCCGATCCCGCGTGACCTCCACTGTGCCGTGTGCTCTGGGGACCAGCCTCCCTGATCCTGGGAACCTCAGGTGAAAATAGTGATAGATTTTCACGAAGAAAGACACCCTCAGCAAAGCCAGCAGGTCAGCTCCCCCGGTGACAGGCCCGGGAGGCAGCGCCAGGAACCCCACGGCGGGAATGCCGTCAGTCCCCACAAAAACGCACCTGGAGACCCCGTCCCCGCTGCAGTAGTTCAGGGGGCTTGTGGGTCGCCCTCCTTAGTGGATTCGTGCTCTCCTCTCAAGGGGGATTAGCTCTTGGGGGAGCTCAGTGCCCCCTGCTGTCTCCCCTACCGCCTGCTGGTCCTTCAACTTCCAGCCGTGAGGTGAAGAGCGCAGGAACCTCCCCAGCACAGCCACCTTGAACTTCCCAGCCTCCAGAACCATGAACTCTCTTTACCTATCACCCGGTCTCAGGTCAGCCACAGAAAATGAACTACAACATCTTCATTTTACAGAAAAGGCAACTGAGGAACAGAGAAGTTCCTTGTATTTCCCAGGTCACACAGCTAAGAAGTAGAGTGGGACTGAGAATGAAAATCACTACCTTCTGTTGCTCCCCACACTCCACCGTGAAAAAGCATCTGAGAACATTAAAAAAGAATTAACATCCAGAATGTACAAAAAGCTGCTAATAAACCAATCAGAACACCAATATAAACAAACCAATTTTAAAAAAGGACGAAAAATAAAACAGCCAGCTGACAAAGGAAGGGAAATGATAATTGCGTGAAAGGCTGTTCAAGCAAGTCCTGGGGACAGGCAGGGGAACAAGACGGGAGTTTTATCTGACAGATCACAGAAAACCAGGATGTTCGACAGAGCCAGGAGGGCGGTGGGAATGGCCCGCACACTGCGGGTGGCGGGGTGGATCTGAGTCGTCCTTATCCAAAATGCTGGGACCTGAGGTACGTCAGACCTGGGGGGTGGTTGGAATGTTTGCAGATACATACTGAGATATTTTGGGGACGGGACCCAGGTCTAAACATGGAGTTCATTTATGTTTCAAAAAGGCTTACACACATAGCCCGGAGGTGATTTCACTTAAAATATCTTAAATAATTTAACACATGAAGCAAAGCTTCATGGTATCAATTTTTCACTTGTGGTATGTCAGTGCCTCAAAAGTCTGATTTTGGAGCATTTCACATGTCACACTTTCGTCTTAGGGACACTCAGCCTGTTCTGCCTTTTGAATGATGGTGTGGTGGGGTCCACTACCAGTCAAAATGCACTTCACTTTTGACCAGCAGCTTTGGGTGAGGTCCCTCCCTACAGCCACCTCTCGAGTGGGTGCTAGGAGGTCACCCGCAGGAGTTCTCCCCAGCCACCTGTGCTCCCGCCTCACTGAGGTCCCCTGGTGCCCTGTGGGACCCACGGAGCGCTCTGGGCAGACTCCACACACCTCGCTCGTTGCCCTTCAAGCCACCTGTGTCCCTCCCTCAACTTCTTCAAGCCAGTTGTACCTGTGATACCATCTATCACTTAATGCTGAGAATCAGTGGTGGCCAGCGCCAGGGGAGCATTTTATAAAAACGAAGCTGAATGCTCTGAGTTCGTGGAAGGCAAGTTGCTAACACCCCAACCAAACCAAACCGCTGCTAGGGTGAAGCCAAAACCTCGAGCGCAGCCCTGGGGACAGCGTCACAACAACCCAGAAGGCTTCTGACGGAGTCGTCCTACGTGTCCAAACTCCAAAAGCAGACGGTGCCTTAAGGCTGTGCTTTATCAGAAGAGGTAAATTAGAGGAAGCTAGTCCTCCAACGGGAACCTAGGGTCAAAGAAAAGGCCTAGGTGGACACTTTAGTGTTGTTTGCCTTTTTTTTTAAAAAAAGTAATGCAAGTGTAGCAATGAGTTATATATGCAACGTTAAAATACTTAAAAATAAAGTGGTACCTTTATCCACGTAAAGGACACCATTAACAGCATGAGGCGACTCCTGCTCACTTTGCTAACTTGCTGGCCCGGTGATTCTGCCATCCCATAATAATGAAGTCATTTACTTTTGTGGTACAAGGGAGACTTCCGTCTTTAATGGAGGAGCTTCAGCAATTTGCATTTATTGTTGCAACTGACAGGTTTGTTACTAACTCTGCCACCTTTTTCAATGCTGTTTGTTTCCTGTGCTTCTTTGCAGTTTGCTGTGCTTTTCTATGTGATACAAAAGGCCCCTCCTCGGCTTCTAGCTACGTTTATGTTGTGAAAGGCTCATGCTTTCTTTTAAGTTCTACATATTATGATTGATCTCTAAGTTTTATATCAGAAGTCTCCTAAAACAGACAAACTCTTGATGTAGCCACTTACAAATCCCTGCTCAAGAGCCAGGCGGGATGCCAGCATTTAAACTCATTTTTCCTGATTCTACAGGGCAGGAGGTTAGCAGGTGAATCCCTGCTGGTCCTTCAAAAATCCAATTTTATCAAACCTTCTCTACTGCAAACCTGCTTGGAAGCCCAAGTCTGAGTTAGAGGATGCAGATTGGGAGCTGTTCTCAGTCTTGATCATTCACAATGGATGCTACAGTCTACCATGTTTGCTTTTAATTTGTATTTAATTTTTTTGTTTAAGAGAGGGGTCTCACTTTGCTGCGTGAGCTGGCCTGGAACTCCTGGGCTGAAGAGATCCTCCTGCCTCAGCCTCCCAAGTAGCTGGGCTGTTTTGCTTTTTAAATAACAACAAGAGGGCTGGGATGTAGCTCAGTGGAAAGCACATTCCCAGCACGCCCAGGCCTGGCTTCCCTCGCCAGCACCACACAAACACACACACGATACAATCAGCACACACGCGTCACAGGTCCTCTCTCCTCACTGTTGACCATACGCTTGTCTCTCTAAATCACACAACTTTCCTTGATACCCGAATAATCTTTGTTCCATTAAAACAAGCCCCGAGGTTCCCCGATAGTTGTCTCTGTCTCTGTTGCACTGTTTCTCCCTGCAGCTGCAGACCAGGCAAGCTCACGACTGCCCAAGGTCAGCCGAAGGGTCCTGCCCACAAACCCAGGCAAGAGACTCACGACCCTGGTTTCTGCCCAGTTGGGGGTGGGGGTGGCCACGCCGGGGGATTTCTTTCAGCACCCCACCCCCCCGCTCCTCTAAAGTTCAAATGGCCCCCAAATAAAGTTGGGGGACAAGATGACAAGGGGCAGGAAGTTCAGCAGATTTCTGTCATGCAGCTTAGGTGGCTGGGGTGGTCTCACAGTCACCACAGGCTTAGCATCACCTGGTGCTTTAGCAGAGACGCCCCAGGGCAGAAGAAGGGGGCACGAATGCCATCTTCCCACCCGAGGGCACGCGTCTGCCGGGGCCTCAGCCCTGGGCAGGGGCTGACCTAGAGGCTGCAGGTGCCTTCAGTTGCCCACGAGATCATGTCTGCTTTCCCACAGGGTCTCATGGGCGCGCCCTGCCGGTCATCCTCCTGATGAACCACAACAGAACCTCAGCCCCCAGAGGGAGGCCCCCACCAGCCGGGACCAAGTGAAGCCCCCCGCGCTTACCTCCTGCAGTTTGACCTCCTCGGGCTGCAGGATCTCCAGCACCCCGCTGCTCTGGATCTCTGGAAGGTCCTGCCAGAGGTTGAACCTCGAGTGGGGGTTACTGAGCAGGCAGATCTGGGGCACAGCCCTCCTCTGGGGTGGGCTCGCCGGCTCTTCCTCTTCCTCCTCTTCCTCTGGAGTGTCCTCGCCGGTCGGGGACCCATCCTCATGGCCCTGGATCTCTGCGTCCTGTTGCCTCCTGGTCTCGATTTCCTGGAGGGTTGATTTATCTCGGTATTCCTGGTATAGGAGCCCTGGAATAAAAGAGTGTTGTATTTTTAAAAAGCACAAGGTTTTCGATGGCAGTCATTTCAAATCACTATAACGTCACACTCTTGCGGCGAGGGGACGCCCTACTGAGGAGCACGCGGAGAAAGACGGACTCCCTCGCTTCCCAGTAATAGGCTCCTGACCACAGAGCAAACTGCCTCCTCTCCCCCGTGGGGAAGACCAGAACGTGCAAGTTTCCTCCACCACTAAGGAAAGTCTCTGGTTCAAAATCCAGTCACACAAATGCGAGCTTTCTTCAGCAAAACGAGAAGGCAGACCTTGATGAGTCAGTAACCGGGAGGGCACTGTTGACGGAAACGTCCCGGTTAGGTCTCAACATCCAGCAGGGACCTTCCCACAGCCCTAATGCCCAACAGTGACCCTCAAGCACTCTCATCCATGGCGTGGGAGTAGCGGTCAACTTGCACATGGAGGAAAAATCCCTGTCTCAGCAACCTGAGGAGTCCAAGGGACACATCTCTTGTGCACAGTCCCCGCTGGCTTCCCCAGCAGGTTCTAAAACAAATGCCCCTGTCTCAAGGGAGACTCGGGGTACGAGAAGCTGGAACGGATGTGGCAGCTCCATGAGAAAAACCCCCTTCAGGGCAACTGGCTGTGGGCAGAGGGACTGTCCCTCCACACGACCCTGCCTTCCACAAGGATGCGGGGACAGGTCAGCCCCGAGGGTCTTGTCAGCCACGCACAGAAACAGGACTCTGCCCATTGGCCAGGGAGGCCCAGGAGCTCTCAGGGAAGCATGTCTGGGTTGCATTCAGCAGAACCAGGCTGGTAGGAGAGGGCCGCAGCGCCAGGGACAGCAGATGAAGTGGTGGTAGTAACAGAGCCCGGGCCCGACTCAGGGGACAGTCCAACGTAGAGCAATGGCTGATGCTGGGTAAAACCCAGGTCACCAGCTTGGCAAGAGGGTCTCGGGGCACCATTCAAGGGGACAAGGAACACGAGTGGAGGCTGTGACTGGGGGTGGGGTAGTGCGGAGATGAAAATGTCCTGGGGTCCCCAGCGGAGAAACCCAGCTGGGCAGCTGGACTTACTGGTCTGGAGCTCGGGACAGTGGCTGGGACCCCTAGGTTTGTCCACTTGGAAAGCACCCTCTCCTTCAGTACAGCCCAGACGTGTTAAGCGTGGGGAGGGGTGAGCGAGGAAAGACCACCTCGGAGACCCTGGATACGTGAGCTGGGTCAGTCACATCCACGGGCGGGAACCTCATCAGTCTCTCCGCGGGTCACACCGTTGGCTTCCGATGCTCCATGACTCTAAATCATAAAGCCTTTAACTGAGCCCCTGTGCTTTGCAATGTCACCATCCAGCAGAAGACAATGTGGAGTTCATGTGACAAAGGAACGAAAGTCCATCTATGCTAAATACAACTCAGGTTGGGGACCTATAAGGACAATTGAGTGTCACCACACAAATGGGCTCAATTGTGACACGTGACTGTTGCCATCGAGCTCGTTATTTTCCTGGGCGTCTGACAGACAGGATGCTTACGGAGGCTTCCACCTGGGTTCACCTTTCAGTGTTTAACTCGCACCCAGGAGGCCCTCAAACATGTGCTGAACACCTTTTTGAGTGCAGTTTCCTAGCTTCCTCGGAGTGTCTGACCTAGCGTACTTCTGACATTTCAGAAAGCACATCTTACGCGTGCTGCAGGCAGCTAATCGGGGGCAGAACTCCCTCCGACTTTTCACAGGTGCATGAGACTTCAGCACTGGGGGGATCCCGTTGTGGCAGACACACTAGGGGCTCCCCTGCGTCCCTCACACCCTGGCTTCCCAGGTAGCAGGGCAGGGGTTTGGTTTGGGTGCCACCCATCTGTGCTCCAGGACGTGGGGGATGTTGACTGAGGGACACCTTCCCTGACCGCTCCCTTGCCAGCAGTGGGTTTGGGCGTGGGCATGTGACACCTGCAAGTTCATATACTGGAACCTAATGCCCAGGGTGACCGTCTAAGAGGCGGGGCATCTAGGGAAGTGATTTCCATGAACGGAGCACTGTCCTTATGAAAGAGGTTGAGGAGAGCCGCATTGTCCCTCCTGCCACATGAGGACTCCAGGCCAGGGCCATCTGAGCCCTCACCATCGGGAATCAGCTCTGGTGCTGGGCCTCAGCCTCCAGAACCATAGTAAGTCACCCAGTGTTAGAGTGTGGATGTGGCTTGTCCCCGAGGTGGAGGCTTGGTCCCAGTGTGGTGGAGTTGAGAGGTATCTAGGCCATGGGCCACTTCCTTTTAAGGACTCCATAAGAACCTCAGTTTAAGAATGGGTTGCTGGGCTGGGGAAACAGCTCAGTTGGTAGAGAGCGTGCCTCGCATGCACAGGGCCCTGGCTTCAATCCCCAGCACCACACACATAAAAAATGGGTTGTTCTTGGGACTGGGTGGTGGCGGAGTAGTAGAACGATTGCCTAGCACACGTGAGGCACTGGGTTCAATCCTCAGCACCACATAAAAATTAATAAACAAGATAAAGGTACTGTGTCCATCTACAACGAAAGAAAAGAAAGAAAGAAAGAAAGAAAGAAAGAAAGAAAGAAAGAAAGAAAGAAAGAAAGAAAGAAAGAAAGAAAGAAAGGGTTCTAAAAACAGTGAGCCTGGCCCCGGAATCTTTTGCATGTAATCTCTCCTGCTCATTCCCATTATGCTGCCACCCACCATGTTGTAATAGTACCAGGGAACCTTTACCAGAGCCCATCAGAGACTGGTGCCATGCTCTCAGACCTCTGAACTGTGAGTTTAATAAATCTCTTTTCTGTATGAATTCCCTGTCTCAGTTATTTTGTTATAGTCTCAAAAAGGGTATTTTGTTATAGCAGCAGGTACAGATTAAGACACAGGCCAAGGAGAGAAAGAGAAAGGAGACATATTCTAAGGGCTTCTCAAAAAGATGTCTCATGTCTCTCCCCAAGAAACACTAAAAGATAGCACCCTTCCTGCTGCTACAGACCACTGCTGGAGGGTGTGATGCCTGGAGCCATTACAGCCAATTGAGGAGGAGAAGCACTGTGATGCCTGTCTGGGTGATGAACCTATTCAGGACCTTCTCGCCCCTGGACTCATTGACTGACATGGGCTGCCTTCATCATTTAAGATCAGTTTTTGTTAGATATTCTGTTAATTGCAGCCAAAATAATTTTAGAATTAAAAAAATGCAGACTTTTTTTTTCTGAGGTATATATTTAGAACATAAATTGGAACTCCAATTTTTTTCTGGAGTTACTATGATTACGGAATTATATGACATGCTATTATAACTACTTTTCATAATCTTTTGGTTTTTGTTTGCATTAAATTCAGATTACTGTATAATCTAATTCAGACCACCAAATACAGTAGATTTATATGAGGAACTACATGTTATCTGAGAACTCGCTGTACTCAGAGTATTGCATTTAAAATTTTTTTTTTTTTTTGCAGTGCTGGGGATCAAACCAGGGCCTCACATGTGCTAGACAAATGCTCTACCACTCAGCTGTGCCTCAGCTCAACGTGTTGTGAATATAGCATGTATTCCTATTTTATATTTGTATGTTCAGTAAGCACAACTTTATATGGAAGGTAATTTTCCCTTTTGTAAATCTTTTTATTTTACAAAAGCTTGCACTTGGTATCACAAGCATGTGGAATAGGAAGGCTCAGTTCCAACTCTTATTAAAAGATGTAAATCAGGTTGGCTGGAGAAGGAGGGTGAGTCCCCAGCTCCTTTGGCCAAAGCCTCCTGAGTCATTTCAAATCCCTCCTCCTGAAGAGGATTCCTTTTTATTTCATTCTTCAAATACAATTTGAAGGGTAGGGAATCAATTATGATTTAGTGAGCCATTCTATGTGCCAAGCATAGACAATCTCTCTCTCTCTCTTGCACACACACACACACCACTCCAGGGGCTCGGGCTGTGTGATCTCTGGGGCCACAGCCACTGTGACGTCAGCTGTGTACTCTAGTGTGCAGTCACTAAACATTCTGTGTAACCTGAGTGGTGGCCACTGCAAAATCCAAAACACAGTCTACAAAACGCAAACAAACTCATTCCACTTTCTGTCCCCTGGATTTCACTCTGCCCTCAGGACCCTGCGACCTTTCCTGACACCTGGTGAAGAATCCTCTCACTCACATAGACGAGGGCAGCTGGGCTGGGGAAGGGACCTGCACGGCACAGCCACTGAGTCTCCTATGAAGACTGAGATGACATGGGACAGCTCAGTGCTGTCCCTCGTCCCATCCATGGAGACCTACGGGAAACAGGGAAAGATGCTCCCCTGACACCAGCAGATATGGAGAAGGGGCTGTGGGGGAAAGGCTCAGAAGCTCCATTTCCACTCTGAGGGCACATTGTGTCTGTTCAGTGATTGGGATTAAAGGACAATAATGATATATTATTTAGACAAGAAAATTTCCAAATTCAGAATTTTTATTTTAACAAGTAGTCTGCTCTAATAACATCGAAGAATATTTTCTAAGCAGCCAGTACCACTTTCAGATGAAGGGAAACTACAGGTCCATTCACTGGTGCCCCTGGTGATGATATGAGAACTAGCCTGACGTCACCAGCAATTTCTTAGTGCAAGGCATGGAGTTCTTTGGACACTGTCTCAGCCCCCTTTGTGAATTCTTGGTGGCCCATAGGAGCTGGACATACATGCTGCTCCTTGGGTGTCTCCCCAGAGCCATATTCCAGGAGAGGTTTCCCTTCCTTATTCAAGGGCGTCTGGGGCTCCCTCTTTCTCTACTTTCCCTTTCCTGGCTTGCAAAGTCCCTGGCCATCAGCCTGGCTCTGCCCAGGCCGGCCCTCCACACACCTCCCTCTCTGTTCCCACTCTGGGCCCACGCCCTGTTCTTCCCAGGCCCCTCCCTGCCTGGAGCGCAAGGAAGGCTCACTCTGCAGGGTCCAGCAGTACTGGTTCACCTCTTCTCTTTCTGGCAGAAATGACTGAAGAGAGCCCTTGCTCAGGAGTGTTGGGCCAAGCAGTGTCAGCAGGATAGAAATCCATTTGCTAAATTAGCTCAATGGTACAGCACTAATAGGATGAGGCAGTTGTGCCTATGGACCATTCAGAACCACAGATATCAGAAACCTCATCCCACGGGCCAAGAATCTCAGAGTCCACCTGGCACCGACTTTCTTAAACAAAACTCTGTCTCAACCAAGGACACCCACCTATTTGTTCGATGAGGTTTCTCCAGGAGTCGGCAGGAATGGGATGGATCATCTGTAGGGCCTCGGTGAGGGTGGTGGGGCTGTCCGCCAGGGCTGGGCACTCCTCGGGTGTGGTCCCATTTCCCGGGGTGGAGGATGACTCGCTGCCAGAGAGGGAGGACCACAAGGCTGGTTATTTTTAAGCAACGACACACCTTGGCCGGCTTGCCAGAGGCGTCTTCACAATCGGCTGCAGGCCAGTGGCACCCTGCCTCAGGCCGTCCAGGCCACAGCAGCCACTGCCCGTCCCAGCAGGGCGGACCCAAAGGCCCTTTTTGTCCTGCACCAGGGCGCGACGGGGTGATTCATTCCCACACTAGACCGCCCAAACCTTCATGTTTTTCGAGCTCTTGGGCAGGCGTCGGAAACTTGGCGCGCCCTGCTCGCGCGCTCGGTGGCGCGGATGGTCGCCCCGACGGGTCCTGCGGCCAGGAGGCCACCTTGCGCCCCTCGTGGCCATGCAGCCCCCAGTCCCTTTCGTCCCCGATCCTTCAGTCCCAGGGCCACTCAGGGCGGAGAGGGAATCCATGCGGTACGCGCACGCCCAGGGCGTCCGGGACGAAGGCACTGGAGGCGATCTTGGGGAGCAACTGGGGTGCCAGCGGCCGGGACACGGAAGCTGCCCTACTCCGGCCAGATGCCCGCCCGACGAGGGCCCCGGTAGGAGTGGGGGGCGGAGGGAGCCCGTGGGCCGGGGTTTGGGGATAGGCCTTGCCAGTCGGTGTCCGTCGCTGGGGGAGCAAGCAGGGAAGGAAGAATACGGGGCCAGCGCGCGGGAACCGGGATGGCCACCGGTCCTCACCTGCCGGGCAGGTGTCCCGCCGAATCGCGCGCGTCGCTCTCTGAGGTGGAGCTGTCGTGGTCCACAGCGCAGGCGGCGCTGAAGGCTGCAGCCAGCAGCTCCATGGGGGCCGGCAGCGG